GGGACGGCGACAGAGCCTCGCCGCAGGTATGCTCGAGCACTGGACTGAAGTCGAATCCAGATTGATTGTAGGGAAAGCTCGAGAGCCCCTGGAAAGCTTGCAGCTGTGCCACGGTCACCTTCCTGTTCATCTTCGTCTCAATCCCAACAGCCACATAGGCATCGAGAGCCTTTCCTATTCCATAGTTGGCGGGTCGCAGCTGGGCGACATAGACACCGCTTTCGTAGACCGCCTCCAGCACAATCGCTGCTTGCTGTCCATGGGCCAGCCCGTAGGCACCACTCGGTGACACCGACACCTCGTTGGGGAAGCTGTGGAGTGCGTGCGGGTTACTATACTCGAGAAGTTGAGTCCCCTTGGAGATGTTCCACTCCTGCGACGTCTCAGCGTCGCTGATCAGCACTTCGAAGAAGACCCGTGTGCCGACGGCTGGGGTCTGTGTGTTTGCTATCACTGTTCCGGTTTCCTGGCCGACGCCTCCAAACACCGACGCGCTGAGAAGCAAGTCAGGCCGGGCACCAAGGTCCGCGTGAGAGGCAACACAGTCGGCAGTCACATCGAGGAAACGATTCTGGAACTGAGTGATGCGGCTGCCGCCGATAATATCCTTTGCGTTGATGACGGGCTGGCCAAAGCGCGGGTCGGGAGAAGAATAGCCGGCACGGTTGTCGAAAAAGTCGAGAGATGGATTGAGCTGCTCCCTGCACCAGCCGCAGTTGCTGCCACACCCTGCTGATTGCCACTCGTCCAGCGGGTTATCGGGGATGGCGCCGGACGTGAACGGGCTGTACTTTGTGGCGAGACTCTGCATCTCGGTGACGTCCGCGACGTCGAAGCGGCAGTCGCCGTTAACGTCGCCACGAACCTTCTGTGAGCATGGATCGCAGCTCTCAAGCCGCCGCCGGCTTGGCACCAGGGCTTCGGGCGGGTTGATCGGAGCCAGCCAGTCGAAAGAGCCGTCGACCAGCCTCCGTCGGCGTGTGGCGCCGAGCTGGACGCGTGCTAGGGCTGTCAGCGAGGAGAAGTTGCTCGCAGTGGTTCGCAAAGTTGCGAGGGTTTCTTTGGAGGTGTCGTCCGACTCCAACTTGACGACCTCGGCGTTCATGAATCCGTCGCAAAGGCCCAGACTGCTCGCAGTCACCGGAAGGATGGCATGGCCGATATAGACCTTGCCAGCGGCAGGGATGATGGGGGGGGCGACGGCGGTGATGCCAAGCGTCAGCTCGTTGACTACGTTGAACGATGCTACGGTTGTGTAGCTCGAGTCGGGCTCTACCCAGACGCCACCGTCGGTGGTTAGACACGGTGGCACCGTCACATCGAGCTGGACCGCGCGCAAGTACTGGCCGGTCTTTGGGTTGGCCCAGACGTGCAAGGTCATAGTATGAGGCAAGTCATTGTAAGACGAGTCATAGTATGGCGCGAAATTGCCACTGATGCCGAAGTTGGCGGTGCCATAGACGCCGAAGTCGGTCCCGAGGTCCACATCTTCGGGGTCCGGCATTAAGTTGCTCCACACCTCCGCCGTGGCTTCTTTCGACAGACCAAGCGAGTCGTCGCAGACCATGCTCACCTTCATGTCGATTGGGATGTGGTGGTTGGCGTGCTGCGTCAGCCAACCATCCTCGTCGATTGAGATGATCCTCGGATTGGAGCTGTAAAAGGAGAGTACGTCGCTCGTGTTGATATGCGCCAGGTGGTTGAAGTTATGGTAGAGGTACTCGATGCCGTCGCACGTGTAGGCCAGGTCGACGTCCGTCCGAACTGTGTTGCTTGACAGCGTCGCGCCGATGGTCGAGTCTTTGAGGCTCCAAACAAAATGGTTGAATGTGCAGTTGGGCCTGGACTCGCCGAGCACCAGGAATGCCTTCACCGGGGTCACCGTCACGCCCGTGATTTTGACGCCATTACCTGGATTGAACTCTGGCGTCTGGCCAACCATGATGGTTCCCGCGGATTGAGGCACGACGATTGAGCTCTGCTCGATGAAGGCGAGCGAAGAGGGCTTCTCTCCATTCTCCCAATCGGACACGTCCTCGTACGTCATCACCTCGTACACCATGTGCGAGGTTGTTATAATCTTTTGCTCGTTGGTGGGCGACAGTCTGGCTGTCGTGACCAGCGTGCCTCGCTCGAAGCTGCTCGAGTTGCACGGCATCCTGTACAGCGTCATGACGTCCTGGCCCTGTACGCTTATGGAGGTCCGTACCTCGGTCAAGTGCACGACGTCCGAGCAGTCGGTGGCCTCGAAGGTGAGCGAGCCGACTTGGACCTTGACGTCCACGCAGACCTGCGAACAGGCGATCGCGCCCTCGGAAACGGTGACGGTGTCGTCATCGTTGTCGACAGTGCCGCAGCCCAACGTGTTGTCAGAGATGTTGTACAAGACCGTGTCCATGCCAGCGTACGTCGTGATCTCGGAGCCGTCGTCGAAGGAGACGGTCAGGCGGAAGCTCGACGACGTGGGCTTTCCAAAGAGATATGTCGAGGCGAAGTCGTTCGTCGGCGTCATCTCGGTCTCGATAATCGCAAAAGTGATTTCCGTTGGCATCGGCGGGTTCACGTACATGGGAACCCCAGCCGTGACAATCTCCGTGCCACATCTTATGAAGGTTGCGGTGACGGACTCCTCGATGCACTCGCGCACCGCATTCGGCGCGACGGCCACCATCCAGTGATCGCTGGCGGGGTTGGCTATCGTGAGGCCTGACGTGGTGGTGTCAGATCCGCCCGGACTGGTCCAGATAATGTTGGACGAGTTCGATGCCGCGTTTGTCTGGAGGCCCGACACGTCCTCGCTCTGATCATCCGACCAGACGATATAGGAGAACAGCAGGCCGTAGTGAGCAGGTGAGCCGGCAAGTTGCAAGGGCGCCTGAGTGAGCACCTGGCTCATCGCGAAGCTCGCCGTGAAATCGTCGCCAAAGCTGAAGGTGGACGGTGGCGCGGTGCTCCACGCAACGTCCGTGATGACGCGGTTGACGAGACGCTTGACGCTGACGCTATCTGCCGACACGGTCACCACCTCGCTGGTCGTCGCCGACCCGGGAAAGAGGCTTACCTGCATCGTGCCCGCCGCCTTGCCGCGAAGAGTGGTGTCGGTTCTGCTGCCGCCTGCGTCCACCACGAAGTCTGCCACGCTCAAGTTCGTCGAGTTGATCGCGGTGGCGAGCGTGGTCACGTCCAGGCCGTCGGCGTAAACTCGCACGCGGGTGCTCTGAAACGCATACTCGTCGTCAAAGCTCGAGCACTCATCGGCGGCAACTCGTTCGATGGCGTTAAGCGTTGTGTCCTCCACTGTGATAGTCAGCGATGTGGGGACCACCACCAGGAGGGACACGGACGTCACCATGCCTCCCGACGTGAGGGTCACTTCAACAAGCGTTGGCGAGGTGAGGGCCTTGCTGGGGGTGACCGCGCATGAGCCCGCCGACACAGAGGTGGCAGTGTCGTTGCTGGCCGAGCATGCGGTCACAGATGCGCTAGTGAGGATGGCGTAATCGATCGCATCGGACAGCGCGTAGTCAGTCAGGACCGTCACTCCGTAGGTCCGCGACGCGCTCTCCCCGTTGATCTGGTAGGGGTCAAAAAGCTGCCCTCCCAGCTGCGGGGCATATGGCAACACGCCACTTTCCGCAAGGCCGATGACGTCCAAGCTGGCACCGTAGTTGCCGCTGACGGTGTCATCGCGGAAGTCGACGATGCGCGAGTCCTCGAATCTCACAAGCTCGTTGCTGCCCTCGTTTAGCAGGTTAACGAGCTTGCACGATATGACGTCGTTCAGCATCTCTCCGGGGGCCGCGCTTTCGAGCAGCGAAAACCTCACCGAGAGGGCAAAGAAGACGCCCTTCCGCTCGTTTGGCTGGTCTGTCCCGGAGCTGGACGGCGAGGCACTTAAAAAGGTCATCGTCTTCTTGCCGTCAGAGCCCACGACGTCGCCGTAGGTTGGCTCCGCAAAGTGTGTGCTGGAAGAGCTCGAGATGTAGTTCAACTTGCTCTGATTGTACTTGACCTGGTGACAAGAGAGCAGAGAGATGACTGGACAAGCCGCGGAAAGGGCCACGCGCTAGCGGTAAGTGCAGCACCGCACCTCAAACGTCCAGCTGTACGTTTCGTCGGACGGGTAGTTGATGAACACGATTGCGTCGAACTCGTCGGTCGGGATCGAAGCCGACGTGGCGTACACAGGGTAGATGGGCATCGTGAGGAAGCTGGAGGTAGTCACATAAGGCGGCGCCGATGCGCGCTTCCCTGTAGAGGAACTCCGGAGGCCGGTGGTGCTCTCATACCTACGAGAGAAATTGGATCAGCGTCACGCTCGCAGCGGTTGGGCGAGGGTGGTGCTTGTGACAGCACGCACCAGTTGGGCGAGGCCTTGAGAGTGACATTGCCAGCGTGCACAGAGATAGGAGCCGCGCCGGAGGTTGGGGTGACTGTGACTGTCACGCTCCTTTCGATGTCCACAGAGCTGAAGTCGGAGCCTTCAAGAATGAGAAGACACGAGTCCACGTGACGCTTCGCGATCTTGGCCAGGCGCGTTGTGCCACAGTTCCCGCCGCGAGACACGCCTGCGACGCTGATCAGAGCCTGTTGGGGCGTGTCGGTGTAAAAAGAGCCGTCCTCGTCATGCAGGGTGTATGAAACATAGACACGTGGTCGTTCCGCGTAGACCAGTAGCGTCCTCAGTGTCGCAAAAATGGCCGTTGCAGGTTTGGTTGCCGTGCTGGTTTGCTGGGCGGAGATATAGGAGGTGGTGTCCTTGGTCCAGCGATAATTCATCACGTTGGCGTACAGAGTGGCAGATGTGTCAGGCGTCGGCGAGTAGATGCCAGTCATGGACGACACTGAGAGCGTGCCGGTTGAGCCGTGCTCTGATCTAATCGCCAACAGCGTCGAGTGTCCGTTTGCAAACGCCAGCTGCGGGCTCGCGCTGTACTGGTTTCGAATGCTACCTGGCAGATCGGCGGTCAGGCTCTCCTGCGTGCATGTGAGTGGGTACGATGGCGGCGGCGGCGAGGGCGGCGGCGGGGAGGGCGGCGGCGATGAGGGCGGTGGCGGCGAAGGTGGGGGCGGCAGAGGAGGCAGCGGCAGCGGTGACGGTGGCGGCGGCAAGGGCGGCGGCGGCGACGGTGGGGGCGGAAAAGGTGGCGGCGGCGCGGATGGCGGCGGAGAAGGTGGCAGCGGAGAAGGCGGCGGTGGAGAGGGCGGCGGCGGAGAGGGCGGCGGCGGCGAGGGTGGCGGCGGCGCGGGAAGTGGTGGCGAGGGCGGCGGTGGCGAGGGCGGCGGTGGAGACAGCGGCGGCAGCGGCGGCGGTGGCGAGGGTGGTGGAGGCACGGGTGGCGGCGGTGACGGCGGCGGCGGTGACGGCGGCGGCGGTGAGGGTGGAGGCGGTGAGGGCGGCGGCGGGCTCGGGGGCGGCGGCGACGGGGGCGGTGGGCTGGGCGGAGGCGGCCAGGGCGGTGGCGACGGAGGCGGCGGCGAGGGCGTGGGAGGCGAGGGCGGTGGTGGAGACGGAGGCGGGCTCGGAGGCGGCGGGCTCGGTGGTGGGGGTGAGGGCAGTGGTGGGCTTGGGGGAGGCGACGGAGGCGGTGGCGACGGAGGCGGCGGCGAGGGCGGTGGAGGCGAGGGCGGTGGCGGCGATGGCGGCGGCGGCGGGCTCGGGGGTGGCGGCGAGGGTGGTGGCGGGCTGGGGGGCGGCGATGGAGGCGGCGACGGCGGCGGCGGCGACAGCGGCGGTGGGCTAGGGGGCGGCGGGCTCGGTGGAAGCGGCGAGGGCGGCGGCGGGCTAGGGGGCGGCGGGCTGGGCGGCGGCGGAGAGGGCGGCGGCGGACTGGGCGGTGGTGGGCTCGGGGGCGGCGGTGACGGAGGCGGTGGTGAAGGTGGCGGCGGGCTGGGCGACGGCGATGGAGGTGGCGACGGCGGTGGCGGCGACGGCGGCGGCGGGCTCGGAGGCGGCGGCGACGGAGGTGGCGGCGACGGCGGGCTCGGGGGCGGCGGTGCCGGTGGCGGCGTCGGTGGAGGCGAGGGCGGAGGCATCGGCGGCGCGAAGATCACCGGTACGGTGCACTCGACGCAGGCGCCCACCGTCTCCGTGAGGGTTTCAGAGATGGCGGGCTGTGTCCAGTTCGTCACGGCCAACACCTGCGCCTCTGAGAGATCTGTCGTAATCTGGACCGACACCTCGCTCTTGTGCACCACGTACAGCCACGGCGCTGTCGAGAGTTCCTCCTCCGGGGAGAGGGCGTTGGTCTGATGCAGCCGCTCCGTCAGAAGCTCGGCCAACTCACCGATCGTCTGGTTGTTGGTCTCCTGCATGAACTGCGGCAAGGCGCGCAGCGACCTCCCATTCTCGTCGAACGTCAAGTAGGTCGAGGCCTTGCGGAATACGACGTAGGCCTTGACGCTGCCCCCCTCCCCCTCCACGCGAGCCGTGCACTGCTCGATGCCGGAGCAGCAGACATATTCAACGGCAGCCTCGAGCTCCGCGATCCCCAAGCCCGCGCCGTTCGGCAGGGTCAGGTTGACGCCGATCGTCTTCCACTGGTCCACCTCGACGGCAACCGCCGACCTGTCGAATAGCTCGAAGAGGCTCGCCGACGCCTCCGACACCTCGCCCGCAGTGAGCGAGGCGATCGCGTCGGTTTCGTCGCACGAGAGGAGGTCGAAGCCGACGAGGGTGACGCGCGGGGGGTAGGGGGGCGGCGACGGGGGACGGATAGGAGGCGGCAGCGAGGGCGAGGGCGAGGGCGGCGGAGAGGGCGGCGGCGGAGAGGGCGGTGGCGGCGACGGCGGCGGCGGGCTCGGAGGCGGCGGCGACGGAGGTGGCGGCGACGGCGGGCTCGGGGGCGGCGGTGCCGGTGGCGGCGTCGGTGGAGGCGAGGGCGGAGGCATCGGCGGCGCGAAGATCACCGGTACGGTGCACTCGACGCAGGCGCCCACCGTCTCCGTGAGGGTTTCAGAGATGGCGGGCTGTGTCCAGTTCGTCACGGCCAACACCTGCGCCTCTGAGAGATCTGTCGTAATCTGGACCGACACCTCGCTCTTGTGCACCACGTACAGCCACGGCGCTGTCGAGAGTTCCTCCTCCGGGGAGAGGGCGTTGGTCTGATGCAGCCGCTCCGTCAGAAGCTCGGCCAACTCACCGATCGTCTGGTTGTTGGTCTCCTGCATGAACTGCGGCAAGGCGCGCAGCGACCTCCC